TATCTATAATCATTTATTAATTTGCATTCATGTAAGCCTCAGTTTCAAGAAGCTAACATTGAGTTTGACTTTCCCACTGCTGTTCTCCATGTCACAACTTAGTTCTTTCAGTTATGTGCGTCTTACAATGCATTTTCAAAGCATTTACAACTGCACCTTTCAAAAACAAATAGAATTTCACTACTTTTTTTTTTCTTATTTTTATAAGGATTTCACTTTTGCCCCTGTACATTTTAACTTTGTCTATTTCTTCTCCCCTCTGTACACAAGAAGGAAAAAGTGGAGAAACTTAAAATCTTAATTCGGACAGTAATGAAAACTAATGTCCTCTCCACAGTGAGAAAAGTCAAAATTATCCAGAATAGGAACAGATTAGTCATGTAGTGGTGTTTCCCTTCACTTCAATTCCATCCTAGTCTAAACATCACCTTGTTCATTTCAAATATACCCACAACCAGGTATGTGGAAACACTTCTAATTCATTCCCCTGATGCTATGATTCAACTTTTATTTTTTTCTTAGAAAACTCTGTTTAAACTGACTACAGCAAAGTCAGCACCTTTTCTTTGTTTTTCCAAAGAAATACAAAGAATTTGCTTCTCCATGAAATAAAATTTTTACAAGCTACATTAAAGCTAGCCCATTAGAACAAAACCAAAATGCAATATCTGCTTCTCAAAGAAAGGGACAGAACATATGGTCAGCAGGTAACAAATTTCTAGCTGACGAGTTCTGCTTGTTTTACAATATCAGAGATGACAACTGCAGTTTTAAAAGAAAGAACAAACTAGAGGCTTCCATTAGCAATATGGAAGGAGATAGCCTTACACAGGAGCTAGGAAAAAAAGCATTTTTTCTAAAGATAGATGAAAAACAGTTTTAATGCCAACTATATTGTCTTATTTCAAAAGTAGCGCAACTGTAACAGTGACATACAGAAGTCTTCAATATTACACTCATTAAACTGTAATAAGTAGAACTGGTTTGCATACTTTCTCATCTACAAAAGTTAAGAAAACTTCTTTGGAAAAAACTATATATTTATTATTTCACAACCTATTAATTACTAATGGGAAATCTCTCTAAATTGAGTAAAATAATAATAGGCCGACGCAATTCTGTTGGATTACACACCAGTTAAGCTTTACATTCTTTTGTCTTTTGTCTTTTGGGAATAATTAAAAAATTAAAGTGCATGAGTAAAGCTTACACTGTAAGGAACATATCATTCTTCTCAGCTGCTCTTTGCTAGAAATGCTCCTTCATGACACCCTTCATTACTGAGCCAGAAGCAGGATCATTCCATGCATTAGCTCTTGATGACTGCCTTCCCTGAACTGAACGTCACTGAACTTCCCACTGAACGTCAGTTGCCATTTTAGTAACCTGACATTTAGACCTCTCATACTTACCATATTATTTACTTAGTATGATCAGCAAATTTATGAAATAACTATTTATTAGACTGCCAGCTTATCCACATGGTCAAAAACATTTTGAAAAGCATGGATCCCAGTACATGTTCCACGTGATATCATTGGTGGCCTCTTTCCACTATGAAAACTCATCCTTTCCTCTCCTATTTCTTATTGTTTTCATCATTTTTTATGATTGTAGGAAATCTCCTCCTAGTCAGCATCATTGTTTTCTCAGGAGTGTTTAGCAGACTTTGGTGTTGCTAAAATCCTTCTCGTTCTTCAAATAATCTATTACTACAGTTTCTGTATTTGCCCAGTGCAGACGTTTTGGTCTATATCCTTTCCTCATCTTCCCTCAAATTCACCTTAAAATTGGCACCATTATTTGCAGTCTCACATCTCTAAAGCCATCCAATTTTTCCACAGTTAATTTCACCACGCTTACTGTTTTAATTATTTCACCTGAGTACTTTCAAAATCTGTGAGTAGATACCACCTATTTATGAAATTTCCTTCATGGTGTTCTGTACCATCTCCTAACAGCTCAAAATGAGTTTCCTCATAGTGAAATATTCCTGTTCAGCAGTTTCCCCAAACTCTTCCACTGTGAGAGCAGAAGTAAACGATGAAACAAACAATTTTGCTGCAATAATTTCTTCTAAGTGCTTCTGTTTTCCTTGATTCTCTTTTGAGATTACTTACTCTTTGCCAGACTTCCTGCTGCTTGTAACTGAGGAAGAGCGTTTCTTGACCTCTGTATTTCTCAAAATTGTTTTTGTTAACAGATCTTTTATGCATCTTGCAATTACTTTGATGTGCCTTGCTGTGGATATTATTTTCATATTTACAGTCCTTTCCATTTTCTTCCTAAGTCCCCAGCTCTCTGATGAACATTTTTTGCTTCAGCAGCAAATAGCTGATAGCATGCTGCCTAGACACAGAAGCTCCTTCCTGCCCTTTCTCAATCCTTTCTCACTAAGCAGGATTTATTTCTCAATTCAGTATTTTAAACTGCCCCATCTGTCCCATCTGCCATGACATAACTGCCTGTGAATCCTTCCAGATTCTTCCTAAGCAGGAATGCCCATTTCGATACAAACTCTGCTTTCCAAAGTTACCCACAAGTACTGGGAGATTTACTGGCTTCTGCAGTCCCATGAAGATACTGAACCTAGATAGAGATTCAGCTAAAATACATTGCACCACATCCACCTCCTTTCTGCTACTTCTTTCACCGGATCCTCAACTATTCAGTCCATAACAAAATCAATAATGCAGTCTCTGCAGCTCTCTAAGATTTTTTTTTTTTCTTTAGAGTACTCTGTTTGTTATTCTCTGCAGACATTTTTCTATATATGAGTCAATCTTGTCCTTCCAACTTTTCCCTGCAGTTTCTCCCCAATACACATATCATCTCCAACTGCATGCTCCACTTCATCCATTGCTGTTTTTCCACTCTTAGACTCATTTGTGGTCTTGGTTTAAAAGTCAATCCTCCTCTACAGCCTCCTGCATTCCCGAGGTCCCTTTAGTTTCTTTCATAAGGGTGAACCTCATCCTTACACCATTTTTGCCTTTGCAGAAGAAAATATTCCCTCTCAGCCTCTCTGTACATAAGGGACAGTCACTGAAGAGATCCTGGGCTGCTGCACCCATGTTGTCCAACACCTGCTGTTAAGTAAATCACTGTTAAACTTACAAAAGAACAATGGTAAATCAGTCAACATAAACTGTCATTTCCTCTCTCATCCACTCCATAATTTCAGTCACTTTAAGGAAGAGACTGGAACTCAGTGAACCCTTCTCCCCTCACTCCTCCTCAATGCTGGTTGGATACTGGCTGATATGTGGCAGATATGCTCCTGTACGGTCATCCCAGGCTGCCTCTTGGTCTGCCAGGTGCCTTCTGCCTTCAGCAGGGGCATCCTACTGCCATCTTTCCCTCCCAGGTACCAGGGCTGCCACAGTTGTCCTGAGGCACAGCATCATAGGAGAGCTTCAGTGAGGATGAGACACATGTTCTCTGTAGTAAAAAATCCGTTCCCTAGTGGTATGCATGCCATGTGACATCTGGGGAGACTGCTTCGATGGGAAGGATACTTCTGTAACATCCCAGCCAGCACTGATTTATACAGTCCTTGGTTTCTGCTTTACAAAATGGTTATTTTTACATACATCTCTGTCCTTCTCATTAAGCAATAGGAATTGATGATGGTTCTTGTGTTTAAAATAATTGAGCTGCTGAAAGAATTACATACCTTACTGTCGTTATGAAAGAAGCCCTCAGTGGTAGCCGTTTGCAAAAGCCTTCTGAAATACTAGTAGCATTTTATTTTCCTCTTTTGAACTATTGTCTCAGGAGAGCTTCTGCATAGCATGCAGGCATTGGCTCCAAATATGTCACAATACTGAAGGCTTTGTAATTTAATTTGCAAAGAAATCTGGATCTCCCCAGCACCACTGGTAGCAAAATAAAGACATAATATGTACATGTGCATGTGCAAATGTGCTAAAATTGACTTTCCAGTAGGAAGGAGCTGAAAACTACAGCATGAGATTGATGAAAAGCACCATCTGCAGCATCTAACTGTATTTGTTTCTCAAACTGGGCCTACATTCTCTTCAGTATATACTATTTTTGCAATACATAGTGTAAAACCTCTCCTGGGACAAGGCCACTGTTTTTCATATTCGATGCATTTTTCTGAAGAAAGTTTCAGGTGAATTTTGTACAGTGAGATTTTCGGACAGGTGCTGGTCTAGAATTCAGCAGAGCAGAAAAATGTTAGCATTACAGTTTTATTGGATTATTTTCAAATATAGATGGGTGCATTCTGTTCAAAAAAAGAAAAAAAAAAGCCAAAACCAAAAAGCAGCTTTTCCAAATGTTGTTAGACAATAATGGAAGTGCTCAGTTCTGTTCATTAAGCAACTCAGCGTTAGTCTGAAAAACAAGACACCACCACCATTCTTTAACAAATACAAAGGTTGCATTTATCAGCTGTACTGGTGGAAATTGACCGCTAGATTTCTTTAAGCGAAGGTTTCTTCAAAAACATGAGATGGTCCCAAGTTTTGCGAAATGAGACAGGCTACAATTTCCTCCACGAATTCATTTGATGATTTCAAGACAACCCATAAAAGCAATCTATGGCTTCATAGTCACAAGAAGAGTCCTTCTCAAATGTAAGTAATAAAATGAGCATCTCTTGCAGTAACAGGACTTGGGGCACTTATTCAGGACAGCTGGCATTCATCAGAAGGTAGGGCTGTGCATGCATGCACACAAACACACACACCCATACACTACTTGTCAGAGCAGAGCAATACATTTAAAAATATCTGCCCATAACAAGGTTAACCCACGAGTGGTGAAATGGCTTGGGTATTCCATTGTTGTTTTGAAATGACAGATTTCTCTCTGTGAGCACTTAACAGGTTCCAAAGAGCAATGGAAATAAAGAAAAAAATAATTCAGCTTTTTTAATCAGTTACTGGGTTTCAGGCGGATGTTTTAAGTGAACTATAGGAACAACGTGCTTTACTGTGCTCTGAAAATCACACACAAGCTAACAGACTAAGGAAAAATGAAAATATGTACTTTTATTCAAAACAGCTATAGCACTGAAATGTTCAATAACTTCATAGCAAAAGACTACAGCACACGGAAACAATGACTGATAACTGTAAACTGCAGGCTGTTCTAAAGAACAACCTCGCATACCGCAACTACTTCAACTGATTAAGTGGTGTGGCCTTGCCAGCGTGCTAAAACAAACGAAGAGACAAACCAAATAAAACCTGACAAAATCAAAAAACATGACAACTAAAAGCAGTTTCTGGACAAGGTGAGACGCTTGATAAAAGCTCTCTCTGTAAGCTGAGAGGCCACGCTCACTAGACTACATTTCTCTCATTTTTAAACACCCGAATCTTCACTCGATGAAGCTTACTGATAATAAAAAATCTATCCCATTATATATCTATATTTCTTCACGTGGATATTAAAATAAACTATGTTCTGAAATTAAGAGTTAAAATTCCTCCTTTTGTTTTCCATACATATTTGCCTGTATAAATATACTTCATCATTTTACAAATCACAATATTTATATTAAAGCTTTCGGTCAGCAAACCATCACAGCTTCACACGAACAAACAATTTCTGTGTTTTGGTTCTATCTTTAAATCATTTTTGGAGATAATGAAAACCAGCCCAAATGAGTGACTGCTAACAATATAAACAACACATTTATTTAGAAAAATAAACTGAAAATGCTGCTTGTCTGTTAGATTTCTCCATGAAGTATAGACAAATGGCTAGAAAACTTGTATGCCAAATACGTATTACAAATGACTTTGTCTCTTTAACAGTAACTGGAACAACAATGCCAGCGTTCAACAGGAACAGATAGGATGTATAATTGAATAGATTAAACTCCTTGCAACAGTATGATAAAAAAAATGGACGCTATTAAAAAAGATTATATCCCCGTTGTAGACACACCTTAACATGTTGATGATTTGTCATATATATACATATATATATATATGTATGTATATGTGTGTATTTATTTAAACCTAAGAAAGGACCACAGTCCTTTCAGTGAAGAGATCCCCTTAGTGAAAGAGCGCACAAATGTTTTTCTTCAGTTCTAACTTTTATATTCCACCTTTTGGAGCCCCAGCAGAATACAGCTCGTTGTGGTCAAAAAGCTCCTGGGGCTGTCTGTGCAAATGGTGGCACACACCATTACCCTGAATGGAAGTGACAGTGCAAAAACTTGAAGTGCATTGAGATGCAATCTTTAACACCTGAACTTTTTCAAAGTTGGGTGGAGAACAGGAGTCAGCATCCTTTGAAGCAGTTTAGTGTCACCGATGCCCTGTTCCTGTATGGCTTTCAATATGTACAAGGAATGACAGAGGTCTTCTTTCGCTGTAGACAAGAAATTCCCCTGTTACTGTAAATGCATTTATATCCCATTATCGCCTGCGCGCTTCATTTCTCCTTTTGGCTACATATAGAAATATTTTTGGATGCTGCCCATGAAAAGCTCATCAATTGTTACTCTGGTTGCTCAGCACAGAACTCAAATGCCAGAGAGCTGGGGTGAGATTGTTGGTCCTCTATTCTTTGCTCCCACCAAGTGGAATTTAAGGCTGTGGCTTTTGCCAGGACGCTGCTTGCAGCAGTCTCATCTGAAACAGAGGACTCAACGCAAATTTCACCCATGAGTCACTGTGCTCTGACTTGAAGGGCTTTCCCATGCTCCATGGAGGGTTGGGTTCCTGGTTACTTTTCAGATCTGGCCTGCAAGAAGTCACAATGATGAATCTAATATGCAAGAAATTAGATGACGTGCCTCCAGATACAGATATTCCTTGAAGCCTGAAGGAGCTGCAAAAAAGAAGACAAGGACAAAGTTATAAAAGCATGACTTAAAAATGATAAAGTGATAAACAAAATAGTTTTGAATGATTGTTCTGCTTTCCAAGAATTCAAAGCACTGTAATATTCTGAAACTTTACCTCTTACAGTTTATTACTGATACAGACCTTATTTCTCTTCACAGTCAACAGGTTTAACTTCATAACTTTCTTTAGAATTACATTAATTCATAGAACCTGAGAAAAAGATCATTATGGTCTTATGTCCCAGACTACACAGTGTTAAACTGATGAATTTTTGATTATTACCTTTGTTAATCTAGCTAACCCAACAATTCAATTTATCAGCATACATAAGAGTTTAAAACCAAACCAAAACTACTGAGATTTTAATATACGAGGAGCAACATATCATGCATTTGAGGAACTTTTAAGACTTCAAATCTAATTTAGGCTATGAATCTGGATTCAATTTTCCATTCTCAAGTTAGATAGAAAGTGAAATTCAGCAGGAGATTATAACCTGACAGACAAGTTTCCTAATCACTAGAATACTATTCAGCGTTTTGATTCAGGTCGCTCACAATCTCTTTCTGGGAAATGGCTTTAATTTATATAATGCACTAAAATGATCCTTGAGGCACTGAAAGAAAATAATAGTGCAATCTAATGCTCAGGCTCAGTGTATTTACTTACAAGACATGAAAAAGCAGCACAAAAAAGTGGGGCTATGGGATACTTACCAGCTGATAGGTAAGGCAGGAATTTGGATTATTTTATGAACTCACGTCTGAGGGAAAGAATGAGAAATTCCTCTTCCACCTGTCGTGATTTACAGCTAGGGCTACCCCACTGTGAGGGGAATGAAAATTATTTCCTTACCATTACAAATGGATTTTATAAACCTAGCCTTTAATTACATCTCCTTTCGTATTGACTGGACTGCTTCATTTTGATAAGGTGGGAAAAGGTGAGGCAAGACAAGGTGAAGCAAGGCAAGAAAGAAAGGAAAGGAAATAGAATCTGAAGTTGGCATAAATTGAGGCTTTTTTCCCCAACAATCAAAGCAGTGAGTCAGAAATACTGCCTGGATTTCTGCACCAGCCCAACAATCTAATGGCCACGGTATAATAAATCTATGAGAAAACTGACTTGGGGTGGCAGAATTTTTTCCTAATCAACCATGCTTTGGCTCATATCATTAATCAAAAAGGTGAATATCTTATGTATTTGCTAGCAGTGTAGTTTTAAACAAAGGATTCTTCATATCAATGGAAACATATCTATCTTCAGCTATCACAATTTCTTTCTTTAATTATATCTTGGTCTAATGATTTGTGTATGGTAAAACATTGTAAAAATCACAAAGATAATGGTATTGCCCTAGAATTCAGGGTAACATGAGACAGGATGGATATTGTACAAAAAAGCATGCATGAAAAAGCAATACTAATAATCAAAAGAAATAAATACTGCAAATATTTCTTGTTCTCTGTCAGGAGACAGTTCTTCCTCAAACTTACTCTGAACACAACACAATGCTGAATAGTTGTAGGTGTGTAAAGCAATATATATTTTTTTGCTTCTCTAGGTTGCAGTTCATTACTTACTTAGTAACATGCCCACAAAGACTGAATATTATAGCAGACATACCTTGATTCCTGTAGCAACTAATTCAGTCGCCAACTCACACGACTGATTCCCAGTTGTACGACTGTATGACATCCACCTAAATCTCATCGACACTCTACCAAAGAAGAAAAGTTTGCCTTTTGTTTTTTAATGATACCTTTGCTAAACTGAACAAGTGGCAGTGCTTCGAAAAATGTGATGTGTGTCTTTATGCAAGATAAATAAAATACCCAAATTAGAAAATTAAGAATTTGGAAGCTGGGCAATGCCCACATTAAAAATAGAAAAAGCAGTTCCTCTTCCCACCTCAAATGGATGAATGAAAAATTAATTAATTGTTGCCCATCGTCGTGCAGATGAAGAAGTGAGGCGCAGAGAAAATAGGTCAGTTATTGAAGAAATATGTTCTGTTTTTTATTGCTATAGTTTTTAGTAGTTTGACAGGAGCTCTACCTTCCAACACCCACATTTAATTTGTGCTTACAAAATGCCTTCAGCCTCGTCAGTATCTTCATGATGCAAACTTTACTAAACAGCAAAGGCTGAGACAGCCTACAGGAGACTGCTTTCTCATTTGAACCCATTCTCTTCCCTTTCTTTGGCTTGGCAGTCTTGGTCTTGCATCCGCAGCTCCAATATTCAGTTCCAAAAACAGGAACTGAAAGAAATCACTGTAATTGTTTTCCTCACTTAGAACCAGATACTCCTTCCTCTCAAGTATACTTCACTTCTATGCCAAGCATTACTCGAATAGTCTTTCATTTTCCACTGTTTGTCAGTATCCACTGTTTTTCAGTTTTCTTGAAAACTGAAAAATCACAGATGAAAATTCACTCAAGAATTTATTCAATTTAAATTCATGTTCAAATGAAATCCAAATAACTTATTCAATTTTAACTGAAGAAACAAGTTCAAAGTAGAAAGATAATCAAGCTCAATTTATAGTATTAACAATTAATAAATGTGCTTCGATTGTGTAGTGGCAGGACAGAAATACGCCAAACAAGTGATAGAGAAGACATTTATCAAATTTTAATTGACAAGTGCATTGGTGACTGCAAGTGATGGCAGAAATGTGAATTTCTGTGCTACGTCTAGCCTCTTTTATTAAGAAGGAGAGAAAAGATTAGGAATCAGCTTCACGTTCAATCGAGAGAGACAGAGAGACTTAACACTAAGTTATATAAACCTTGAATCATTCTCATCTAGACTAATTAAAATCTCCCATATCTGAGCTGATTTTGCACTAACAGCATGAATTGAACACATGCTGTTACCCTGCGTAAGCGTGCTGGCGCTCAGAGCACCAGCCCATCTATTAGCTTCACTCAGGTTTTGACAAGCATGAGAAGAAGCAATCACAGAGCAACAAACCCTCCTCAGCTGCATGTATTTTCTAGGTACTGGCAAATACTAGCAGCATCTGGCTCAGCTTCTCAGTTACACCTGAACAATATGGAAATATTTACGTTCAGATGTGGAATATCTGATCTATTTACGTTCAGCTTTTGTTTCAGGTCGGATGGATTACTGTGCCAATTCCTTCAGAAGAGAAAGAATTATTGGTAGGGAACAGAATGCTTTTGTAGGCCCTTTCTTGGCTGCCCTCAATGTCCAAAACAAATTCCGTGAGCTTCAGAGTATTGTTGTAGGTATCAATTGAAGCAGTGGATTTCAGAAGGCACACGTTTTCAGTCACGAGCCAGATAAAGTGTCTGTGTTTTGTGATTACAGGAACTCTGCCAATGCAAGAGCAATGTTTTTACCAGGTGTTTTACTCCTCCATCAACAACATTTTAACCATATAATCCAATTTTAGATGGTTGCTTTTTAATTGTTTGTTTTTGCCTGTTTTGTTGCACTCTGGAGACATCAATGACAGTAAAATCTTTAAAACATGAAAAATGCAGAATTTCAACAAATGCACAACAACACTTGTTTGTAATCCTTCTGATTTCTTGTCTTCCCAATAAGCTTCAGAATACTGATTTCTGTGTGGCAGAGTAATCCTCCTGCCATTTCAGCCCCTAAATAATTTATTTGCCAAACCGAAAACAAGAATTCCTAATTGCTGATTGGATTTCTTTTTCTCTCAAAGATTTTAAAAATATTGTGAATGGCACGCATGCAAAGTTAAAACCTCTGCAATTATTCATTTTCATTTTTTTTCCCTTGCATAACATTTTTGTCTATGTTCTGACACCATCTACATTCTACAGTAGTATCATTCTTACCACCTTGCTAATCTTTTCTTATGTGATGAAGTTATCAAGTCCTGTTGCTCCACCTCCAGACCCTTCTATGAAAGTGGCTCTATGAATAGTTCTGCAAATCCAGTCCTAAACAGAGATCTGCAGACTGTGTCACACAGTATATGATGAAAGCATCTCTTAAATGAACTCTCTGTACTGAATACATACTACTTAAGCGCAGTGTTAGTGAAAGTTGACTGTCTTTGTGTGTTTGCACAACAAAATGACCATCAGAACATTGGCTTTGAGAGCTGCTGCTACTCAGATACATATATATAAAATATATGAGGGCTGCTCCAAAAGTAACGCCTCCTGTTGATGATGTAGGCCCATGCTATCAGAAGTGACTGTTGGTGATATGGCAGGTGAGGCTGAATCTCAATACAAATATTCTGTTCCATTTTGTTGGCTTGGCAGCAGATGGCAGCAGAGCTGCAGTTTCCATCGAAATCAATGGCAGGCATTACTTTTGGAGCAACCTGTATGTGTGTGTGTGTGTCAGTATCTGTGTGCACATGTGCACAGCAATGAAACATTCATGGAAAAGCAGCATGCAAGGAATGCAAGGAGCATTGTCTTTGCCAACTGCTGAACAAAACATGGCGGTGTTTTCTCAATGATGTCCCAGACATTTCAGATTGGAGACAAGGAATCCGTGGGACTGACAGTGGGAAATTAAGCCTCTTTTTTCATCCTCAACACAGCTCAACTCTGGGCCACCAAAATTACCAAGAGGATTCTTGACAACACAGAAGCCAGTATCCTACTTTAGGGAGCCCATGAGTTGTGCCAAACCCCAAAGCACTAACTGCAAAGTGCTGTAGTGGAAAGAGTGGGGGAATCTTGTTCATGTATCCTGGGAAACTCCAGCAGCTTTGTGCCATGGTGAGAGGCCCTTTCTCTAGTAAGACAAGGACACATCAATTTTGCTGGAGAAGTGAGATCGTGCTTTCTTGGCAAGTGAAAGAAATGCAGAAATAAATCTCAAAATTCCTCAGAAATATTTTTGGCTGAGACTTTTTCAACCCACATCTTTAACCTTTTGAAACACTTTCATTATTCTTTTTTTTTTCTTTTTTTTTTTTTTTTATTTTTTGGCATGACTTTTTTTTCATTTACACTCAAC